CCACTCTAGCCTCGTCTGACCAGTCTCCTATTTTCTGACTGTTTCCAGAAATCAGAGCCGCACGTGTTCTAGGCTGTGCAGTCACAACACACCCTGTCTCTCAGCCTGAGAGCTTCGTTTGATATGCTAACGGGCTTTTTATATAGCCTCTGTAGTCCCGCAAATTTATTTTCTCGCGAAATTCACTACTGTTATCCCCACTTTAATCTGACTGCCTAGCTACATCTTGCTGACTTATCCAGTCTCATCTAAACGCTCTTTTGCTTTCTGACCCCTCCTCAAACACTCCTGCTTCATCTTCAATCTTTCATTCTTTACTGATCCGTGTTCCGCTCGATTCTCGTCGTATTTCGCCACTTATAATAAACGTGTATATGCGATATTTAAATAACAATTACATGCATAGTGGTACAATAGTTCAGTCATCGCCGCAATTGGTTGACTGCATTCCAGATGCATTCCTTTCTTCTGTCTGTGTGGCTGTCTCTGTTCGTTTCCTTTTTCTCCCGAGTCGGTCACAGTTACGGCGACACGCACCCAAGGAAGTGTCCTCCGTTTCGACAACAATCCAAGGCACACAGTTCCTCTACCTGGACATGAGCGGAAAATTATCAACTTTTTTACAACTTACTAACTAATCAAATCATTCAATATCTTGCACTGATACAATTCTTCCGCGGCATGAAACACTGAGCTTAGTTCACCTAATAATACCTCTTCCACATATCTCTTGACTGGAGGACTTTCGACTACGGAAGGCACATTCACCTGCCAATACAAAGCTTGAACAATCGGTCATTCTAAGCTCTTCAATCCGCTTTGACCGCTCAAATGGCCGTGGTTACCACAATCTCTAATCAATTTCACTACATACCCCGGGGGATCTGCGATTCCTTCTTCGGAACCTATCCTATCCTCCATGACTTCAGCATATTTCAACGTATATTCTTCGAGACTTCATGTGGTTCTGCAGATGATCAACACATCATATCCAGAAAGAATGCTTAGCACCTGACCTACCGATCTGGAACAGGAGAGGACCCAGGCACGCAATGGCCGCTCGCATAGCGCATCAGTCAGCAGAAAAATGGGACGCAACTTGACTGCGAATAACGGAGCAAAAGAACGTTCAACAAGAAACATAGCCAGTTACAACTTGCCATTCAATGGATTGGCGGCAGTGTTTCAGGACGTGGTGGGTTTTCGCCTGGCAAGCGTTCTCCCTATAAAAAGCCACAAATGTCCGTTTAACAACACTGCAACGTGGCGAATGTGACTCGCCACCGAATAAAGTCACAGCCCATAACTTCACACTGGCAGTTCAATTAGAACCATCATACTGGATAGCTTGCTCTTCAATTATCTTCCAATGGATCACTTAGGATTCTCTATCTATTATTACTCGAGGTATGACTGCGATATATGGCAGAGCGTTTATGTCCAAACAAATCGTTCTTTCGCATGTTCACCATCGCACAGTTCCGAGCATGGACATATGAACAATTTTCTACTGTCACTACAGTTCCCATATAATGTCTGTACAGCTGTACATACCTGATCATGCCTCAACTGGCGTGCCTCGCATAGTCGAGAATAAATATTTATTTATTTATGTTATATGCTGGGTGAGATTCGTTTTGAGGACAGTTTCAAGGAGGCTGGTGATAAATGACTCGGGTGAAAGATGGCAGTGTAGTGGGTCTTAATTGACATGCGGGGCACTGAAGTCACCCACAATAAGACATTCTCTGCGGTTTCCATGCGAGTTGATATGGTACAGAAGTACCATGTCCCCACGGGGCTTTGTAGATGACGCCAACCATAAGGGATTTGAGGCCATCGTTGATCCTACACCAGAGTAGCTCTGCGCCACCAACAGCGTCGCTGACGGCTTCTACAACCCCAGTTTGTATTGCGTTTCGTTGCTCTATTGAATCCGGAGGCCTTCCATCAGCTTGGAATTTGGGCATTGTCAAGCCCATATATAAAGGAGAGAATTGCCAAGACCCAGCAAAATATCGTCCCGTTTGTCTAACATCAGTAATGGGTAAAACTATGGAACGGATTCTCCAGAGAGTTCTCAGCGTTTACTTCGAGGACCGGAATGTGATTTCTACTGCTCAGCATGGCTTTCGTAAGTCACGCTCGTGTACCACCAATTTGTTAGTTGCCAGATAGAGATGGGCGAACTCACTGGATGCGGGCAAACGTATAAACGTTATCCACATTGATTTCAGTAAAGCGTTTGACAAAGTTCCTCAGGGGCGGCTTTTGTTCAAGGTTCAAGGAATTGGTGTCTCTGGGAGGATTCTCCCGTGGATCTCTGATTTCCTTTCAGACCGAGTAAAGCGAGTTAAGGTCAATGATACGTATAAAGCCCCGTCCTTATGAGCAGCGGCGTCCCTCAGGGCTCTGTTCTCGGACCAGAGTTGTTCAAATCCTTTATTAACGACCTTCCCTCAGCTCTCCGGACCGAGTGTTTGATCTATGCTGACGATTTGAAGTTATGGATGGAGGTATCCAGCGCTGAGGATGCTGACCGACTCCAGTGCACGATTGGTCAATTAAATGGCAGTTGCCTATAAATCGCGATAAATGTTCTGTACTCCGTAGTGGTGCTACTGAACCATTCGGCGTTTACCACCTTGGTGGCTATTTGCTTAATAATGTGAAACAGGAAAGAGATCTTGGGGTTATTGTATGCTCTGATCTAAAAACCACCAAAGATACTTTGAGGTGGGTTGCCGCGGCTAACAGACTACTGTGCTCTATCCGAAGAGCCTTCTCACGATTGATGCCGGAGATTTGGGGACTTGTATTTTCCTCCCATGTGCGTTCAATCCTCGAACATGGATTGCCCACAGCTCATGCGCTTACAAAGTTTGAACATGGCTTAATTGAGAAAGTTCAGCGGTGCGATGCTAAGTGCATTTTTGAGCTCCGACACCTGCCATATCACATTCGTCTCCAGCACTTGAATATGTTCTCCCTGGCATATCGGCGTCGCCCATGTGATCTGATCTACGCTCGGCGCATTCTGCGAGGTGAGATGGGAATCGAGCTCGAAGGTTTCTTCCAGATTAACACTGAGTGTTCGACCCGGGGCCACTGTTGGAAACTGTTTAAACCTATGAGACTCACGCTTCGCTCTGATATTACCCTATCGACTCTTGTGGTGAATAACTGGAACTCCTTGCCTGATTCCGTCGTCAACGCGCACAATGAGGAATGTTTCGAACGACGGTTGGATTTATACTTGTTGAATTTGCAGCAACTGAGACAACCTAACTTGTTGATTGCCGCTGCGCAAACAGCTGCTATGAATGGGAGGTGATGGAGCTGACAAAGGTCTTTCCTTCTGCTCTCTACATTCCAACGATTTACAATAATCAAGCACCACTCGCGGTCTGTTTCCCTCTGGAATAGTAGGCTTCGGATGCGACCTTATCAAATTGACCAGGTGATTCAATCTATCTAGAACGGTTCAAGTGTGAATGTTGGGAATTCTTGCGAGCGATGGGCTTCCAGGCCTTTACTTTATCACGGCCCACAACTGTATCCAGACTCGCTGTCCCTGCCGCCGCGCTTCGACGCACGACAGCAGCATAGATCGTTCTTTTAGACTAGGTTGAGTCCCCTAGGTGTCAGTGTCTTCGGCGACGAGACAGGAGCCTCGACTACGACAGCGTCGCAGTCGCCGAGATGGGCACAGCAAGTAGAGTGACGAGATCAGACACTGTTTCCCGTGGGTGGGCAACAAGGCAGGGCGGAGCTGAACAGAGACCGAGGATTTTACCTATTTCAGCGGCTTGACACGGGTCACAAGTGAAGGAGACAACCGAGGTCATAAGATGTAATATTCTAAACGGGGCCGGACGAAGGCTGAGGACAGTTTCAGACGTTAGCCGTCAAGATTCCGAACGCATAGATTTACCTTATACCCTTCGTCTCCAATGTATGAACTTATCTACCTTGGACTACTGTCGTCGCTGTGGTGGTCCGAATTTTACTAGACCCACTTTGAGTGGCGGTTTAGGGAAGAATATGTAGCAGTTTTCCAGCTCAACACAGATTATTTGACACGGGGTCACAGCTTGAAACTTTCTGAACCTCGGAGGAACCATGTCCGGTCCGAGGTCGAGTTATCCGCACAAGTTGTGAATGAGTGGGACAATCTCCCTGAATGTGTGGTAGATGCCCACATAGAGGAATATTAAAAAAAACGAGAGGACAGGTACATTCTGAGCAGGCCTGGATTCTGCTATTTTTGCTGCAGCTGTAACAATCCCTCGGGGAACACAGTTTAGCAACGACAATTGTCATCCAGCCAATGAACGGAAGGTGATGCAGCTGACACGGGCTTTCTATTCTGCTCTCTACAACAATGAACTCTATGCACTATAAGCGAAGGGAGTATTAAACACGAGTTGCTGCATGAGTGCAAAGTCGAGGAGTGGAAGATGCCTAGGTGAAGCTGGTTGTAGACAGGGAAGTTAGAGTTTGCGGGGCACGTACCTCGAGTGTGCACAGACTACTACAGTAGGAAACACTGATTTATGGACATCAGTCATAAAGTAGACCAATCCCGGAGCTTATCCTTGGCATGCTGAATGGCCTTATGACTCATAAGAACATCTACAATATTCCACGAGTTTGGGTCATCAGTAAACAACAGCGAAGATACCCAAAGCTCCACAGGGTGATTGTTTACATAGATGGGGAGCAGTAGCTGTTCAGGAAGGCAGTTAGAGCAGAGGCGACCAGATACACAGACCAGCTTATGCAGTAACTTCATGTGGAACAGCTTATCAGGCTTTCGAAAAATCTGCGAACAGCACGTTCCCTACGTGGTCGTAATCTACTGCATCAGCTAAACTCCCACGACGAGTTACGTTTATTCACGAAAGCAAATTACAAACACCCGTGGAATACTCTGTGTAATGGGCGTGATACATGGTAGAAGAACACGTTATTAGAAATATTTTAGTTGATAAGCAGCATTACAACGTATCGGAAAATGTTATTGGGGCGGCGCGCCATATGGAGGCATCCCAGTGGTCGGAGGCCAGGCAGAAACACCGGGCACAGCCATTTTGGGTGGGATCATTACACCTTGAGGAGGAATCATCGGAATCTGGCCCCTAAATACCGGAGGCATAGCAACAGGGTAGCGAGGAAGAAGACTTTTATAGGGTAGCGAGGAGGATATGCCAGACCAGGAGGTGGCATGCCAAGAGGGCCGCCAAACATCGGAGGAGGCACTTTACCTTGTTTATAAGCTTCCGCTAAAAGCGAATGAAGAAAGCACAAACACACCTACAAGTGTGATCGACAAGCTTTTGTACTTGCTCCTCCAGCCACTTTTGATAATATTCCTTTACATTGTCTTTATGATTTCTACCGCCACAATGAGTTTTCCGAACGGACGGAGAGTCATGAGTCAAATAAGTATCGCAGTAATCACAGTAATATCTAAACGGAAAATTGGTTAGTTGTACGTATGGAAAGACGTTTTGGTGAGAACAGCAACTACGAAGGATGGCACACTTTGGCATTCCGTGTAGACCGTGCGTTTCACGACACGCGTCCTGTGATTACAACGCGGTAACTCGATCTTTTAGCGGGCCATGCTGCTCAAGATTTTAGCAAAAATAAAGTAGAAAATATTGATTGAATAAACACTTAAAACAAAAGTTGGCTATTGCAAATTTCTTCTGACACAATATACCTGGGATTGATTAAAGCGGTACTAGCAGAACACCGTTGGCGTTTGCTGCTACGTTTTACGGTTGTTTCCAGATTTAATCCCGTTTCACACTCTGCTTTTGCCTTTTTTATTGTGGTCGTTTTACTCATGTATGTCTGTTAAATTTCTGCTCTGCTTTTTACATAAACATGTCTCTCTCCAAACACTGAGGCGGGTAGACCACTGAGGTCCTCGTTATTTGCTGAGTCTCATGCAGCTTGCAGATACTCAAAATGTTCAGAGCCAGTAACAGCTATATATGACGGTATGCGATGTGAAGACTGCCTCCGCTGGTACCACGAAAACTGTACCGGCCTACATGCAGACCAGTACAAAGTGTTATTGAACCATGCCGTAAAAAGACGAACACTGGCAGATGTCAACATTTCGTATTGTCCCTTCAGTGCCAATACAATAACATGAAAATTTATGACAAGACAGGCAGGATGAAACCGGAACAAGTTAGAACAGGGTAGAGGGGCAGGCGTGACACCCCTACGCTCAGGGCAGCCGTAGGCTTACGAAGAGCTGTTTCTGCACACAGAGTGCAGGTTTGATACGGCTGATCGCGACTGCCTATGTAAAACGTAAGAAACGGGCGGTAGCATGTCTCAACACGATTGTAAACATTTTGGTCGGATCAAACTGGTGACAGTTGGCCAGTAAATGACTATCAATGGATGAATCAGGTGGTTTAGGTGAACAGATAGTATGAGCAATCGTGCACAGAAAATATGCGCTGCCGACAGTTTAGTTGCTCTGATAACCTCGCTCAAGCGTACGCTGTTGAAAAATGGCTATCCAAGTAGATTCATCGACAAACCTAGTCAAGCGAGGATGTCGGGACAGAAGGCTTCGACCGGGTCTAAAAAGATGGTCTACATCGAGCGACCATTTAAGGAAGAGTTTGCCAATATGAGGACAATGAAGCGCATAAGTTCCGCAGTCCAGGGACATATTATGCTGCCAAAACTGTCCGTACCAACCAGAATAATCGAATTCCTGTTACCCCAATGACAGAAAGACAACCTATTGGCGCCTACTCAAATTGTATTTACCAATTTACTTGTAGTTGTGGTATACACTACATCGGCCGCAGCAATAGGCCGTTGAACTTCAGAATAAGGTAACATGTACCTAAATGGTTGCAGCTTCAACTCACCCAGTCGTCGGTTGCTCACACCATCCGTTCACGTAAGCCATCTGCTTCATCCATAGGTAGGCATTCACCGGCCACCTGTCACCAGTTTGATCCGACCAAAATGCTTACAATCGTGTTGAGGCATGCTACCACCCGTTTCCTACGTTTTGCCTGGGCAGCCGCGATCAGCCGTATCAAACCTGCACTCTGTGTGCAGAAACAGCTCTTCGTAAGCCTACGGCTGCTCTGGGAGTAGGGGTGTCACGCCTGCCCCTCTATCCTGTTCTAACTTGTTCCGGTTTCATCCTACCTGTCGTGTTTTAAATTTCCATGTTATTGTGTTGGCACTGAAGGGACAATACGCAATGTCGACGTCTCCTAGTGTTTTGGTTTTCTTACGGCATTATTCTGCTTACTAAAGGGAACTAATTGTTCCAAAATGTTGTTATTCAACGTTAACTTCCTTTTCAACTGTGCTGAGTGCTGGGCTCAGAGATCAACGCGCCCGGGTCTCACCAGTGCTAAACGTTCAATGCGGGCTTAGAGGTTGGGAGATGTTATGAAGACGATAACCATGCTTACCCCTATTGCCTCGCTTACTGCAGATGTGCATTTGTTTTTTAATTCCCTGAATATTGCTAGTGAAGACACGCAGTAGACTGCACTGCTGCTGAAGTTCCATCAGTTGTGGCCTGTCACTCGGTCAAGAAGTCGCACATTCTACCATACACTTCAGGTAGCATTTAGGACTATCCACATGAGCCGGTTAAAGTAAAAAAAGGTGTGGAAATACCAGAAGCCCACTGCCAAACCCAGAGGATTATTTGCCGTGGCAACGAGGAAGTTGCAGTGTTTGACTGTCGTAAAGTCATCTGACGATTGTGCACAGGATCACAATCCGACGATGTTGACCTTCTCTTTTACCATTTATGCAGCCCGTTCTGCTAAAGCTTTGATAGCTGTACAAGGTGACACAAGGTCAACGGCCCACGGAAACGTGGGCCGAAAGAAGAAGCGGACTAGATCTGCCCGTACCCTTCGAAAGAGCTTGAATACCCAGGAACTAGTAAGACGCCAGCAATACAGCGGAAATCCTACGCCACAGTTGCTTCGGCGTCGGTTGCGAAGACAGGGACAGTCCCACCGCCAGTTGTGAAAACCGCAGGTATAAGTGTCGAATCCAATGCACCTGAAGTGAACACACCCCATCGTGCCGACTCTTTCTTAGCTAGTAGCGTTGTATTCCGTAAAGTTACTGAATCTGTAGAGGCTCCCCCAAGGGAACGCACCTTGTATGACATCGAGTGGCTCAAACTGTGAGTCAGCAAGCTGGTTCCACCTGGATTCCCTGGTGTCACTGTCAGAATGCTGACAAGATTGGGGAACGTCCCTATTGGTACGCCAAATCTGCGAGCCTTGCTACTTCGCGTGGTCCTTTCTACCCCGGAGGAACGCAAAGCAATACTGTGGTTTGCATTCAAACTTAAGGGTAACGGTGTCAGCTTTCAACTGGACCTTCCAGTGGCGGATAGATTAAAGTTAAAGATGGTTATCAAAGACCGCGAGTGGTCAGTAAGGCCTCTGTCTGGTGGGTATCAGGTGGTCAGCCGGAAGTTCCTTTCCTCACTATCAGAAGCAATCCGGATGACCCACGACCCAGGAATGGTCATGCCAACGTCCTTGAGGTAGTACATAGCAACGTGCGTAGCCTAAGAAATAAGGTGCACGCGTTTAGTCTAATTGTAGACAACACACTTTCCGACAAACTTGCTTTCACGGAAACGTAGTTGTCTCCAATACCACGGACGGTGAGGCATGTTTACCCAGCTAAGCACTGCGTAGAACTGGCTATTTCTTTGGTAGTAAAAGCGGAGGCAGGTACTGTATGTCAACGGTAAATTAGCTGTGTTGAAGACCTGTACAATGCAGATTGCAGTTCTAAGCGTACACGCGAGTACCGAGAGTTCTGGTGGAGAAGGGAACCAAGAGGACGGCGGGTGTGTCGATATATTTTTGAGCGCTGGCATTGAAGGCAGGCGCGAGCCCAGGTACGTACATCTTTGTTTACGCGTTTTTAAAAGGAAACGTCCCATGACCAGTTTTAAAGATGCAAGGATACCTGGATGCGGTAGTGAATACAGTGCGTCGATTACTGTGCAACTGAAGGAGAACACGTAGGGGCTAGGTCCATCAGTGAAGGTGCCACAGGGGATAATTAAATAAATAATAAACATTTTATTCTCGGCAACGCGAGACACGCATTTACAGACGTGATCATGTTGCGGTTACAATGTGTAAACATACATACATGTTTACCATAACAGTGTACGTGGTAATTAATGTTTGTGAGACGGTGTATGTGTATAGCTTTGTAGCCTGTGTTTTTAAGTGTGTGTTTGTGTGTGACTTTTTGACAGCTTCGGCTATGTAAGAACAGATGCTTTAAGTTTGTGAATTGGATGTAATCATCCATGTATCCACATGGCAGTGACTTTTGTTTGTGGCAAGTCACATTCGCCACGTCACAGTGTCGATACATGGACATTTGTGACTTTTGTGGAGTGAACGCATGCCAAGTGGAAACTCACCACGTCCTAGAATACTACCGCCGATTTCTTTGCTGGAATGGGTTAAACCCGAACCATCCAGCTGGCACCACCAGGAAGTTGTTTGGCTAGCTAACCTTTGGTGGTTTGGATAGGAACACGCACATGCAGCGAAGTGGACTGCAGCGTGCACTGTATGTCTTCATCTTTAGCCTGAGCGACTGCCGTCGCCGCAATGTCGACGATAAGCAATAATTGGAGAGTGAGTTTGACGCGTGATAGTACGTCCTCGATGGGTCTGTCGACGCCAGAGACATGACTATGTCGGTAATGAATCACGTGACAATATCAAAGTGTCCTGTTTCCCTTGGTGAATAGTTGTCGCAAGCAGAGTTGACGGCGAGGATGGGAGCTTGTGGTCAACGTCGATTATGAAAGCGCGACCTATGAGTGTGTGCCTTAAGTGACGGATGACTAGATAAATGGCGAGCAGTTCTTTGTCAATCTTGCTGTAGCGAGATTTTGCTGCCTGCAGGCGCTTGGAGAAGTAGCCAGCTGGTTGCATTTCCCACCAACATGCCGTTGGAAGACGGCTCATATGACGACGTCTGAGGCATTTGTCACAATAGTAAAGGGTGAAGTCGATTTGGTATGAGTGTGGAGAGCTATGTTGGCGATAGCTTCCTTTGGCTCGATAAAGGCTGTCTGCTCTGCGTCCGGGAAAGGGAACATACGTTTTTCCCCTCTGAGTAGGTCAGTCAGAGGCTGCATGAGCAAAGCGCAGCGCGAACTGAAGCGTCGATAGTGGTTCATCAACCAAAACCTCGACGGCGGAGTTTGAACAAAGTCGGACTGGGAAATACTTAATTGCCTAGGTCTTAGCAAGAATAACTTCGCTACCAAACGACGCAACAAGGTGTGTTAGGAATTATACGGTTGATTTGCTGAGTTCGCACTTAGTCGGGTTAATGGTGACACCGTGGTGGGTCAGGCGCTGGAAGAGTGTTCGAGGTGCTCTTAAATAAATAAATAAAATAAAATGTTTATTCTCGACTAAGCGAGGCACGTCTGCACAGACATGATCATGTTAAGAGTACAAACTGTGATCAGTCAATGTACAAT